AGCATGTGACTGGGAAAAAGAAGTAATTGAAAAAATCATGATTTGTTAGAGTGGGAGATAGGAATGGGGTTACAAATTCTTGATAGGAAGATGGTATGTTACAGTTTCTCTTTCACATTCTTAGCCACTTGACCTCCTTCTTACTCGGCCTGCAGCATTGCTCTCCTCTGTGTGCACTGAGGTGAGGTGAAAAAAGGGAAGAAATTAGGATTAATTCAATAGAAATGAAAAGAATATTGCTATATATTTTTAAAAAGGAATATTTCCAAAACACACTTAAACAATCAAACCACATGGCTTCATTAGTTAGTTATGCATAGTCATGAGTAATACTAAAATATTACTGACACTCATCACTTAGGTACTATTAGCCAATCAGAATGAACAGGCTGAAAAGAACTAGTACATCTGTACTGGTATAAACTAGTTGAATGTCACATTGCACATGGTACGAGTTTAAAAAGATACTGAAGAGTAGACAGTGAAACTGGAGTTTCCCTTCCATTTTACCCTTCAGCTTCCCAGTATAATTCCTCAAAAGCAAACTCACCAGGCTTTTAAATAGGACAAAGCCAGACTTTGTCAAGAAAGAAATTAATTTTCTAAATTTTTTAATTTCCCTCTTTAGTATATTAATTACTTAACTTAGTAAACTTTAATGAAGAGTTTTACATAGGAGAGTGCCCAATCAGTGATACAGGTCAAGAGGAAAAGTCTATTCATTCTATTTATTCCCTGAGATGGTAGAACAGACAAAATAGGGACTTCAATTTGGAAGGACAAGATGTGATAGGTTTAAGGGTATGCTGAGGGCAGAACTGGAAGCACATGGCATTATGGGCTGTTCAGACCCAACCTAGGAGTAAACACTTCATGTAAATTCAATGGTGCAGGATAAATCTCCCTTCACAGTATTAGAGGGAAAGTACTAAGAGATGTCATGGACTATATAGAGCTGTGCTTAAGAATTTGGGGATGCAGAAAATTAAAGTTAGACTGAATCTCAAAAGAAGCACTCATGAACCACTAACATGCAGAAAACATCCACAAACTATTGAAAAGCAAAACAAGCATTGATGAGCACCCCAGCCCTTGTTCTCAGCCAGTGACCTTTCCGGCAAAAGGCAACAGGAGAGCAATGCACAAGTGCTGAGAAAACTGGTACCAACTTATGTAACGCTGCTCTGGCTCCACCTTTAGTCCAGCCCCTAGCAACCATCTCTCTATAAAAATTAACACCCCACACCAATAGATTTCTGTCTGTTTATCTGGAGATGGCCTGCCTTCCCCCTTGAATGTGTATTCCTTGCTTTATTCCAAAAACTTCTCACTCTTGAGATAGCCCATATTCTCCCTTAAATGTATCTTTGCTTTCCTAAATAAAGTTTTGTCTGTCTCTGACACATGCTGAAATCTTTTCTGTAACATATGCCCAGAACCCCACTTGTCCTGTGTAGAGACATCCCAAGAGCCAGAAGGTCTGCTAAAGGGCCTGCTGTGTCGACAGTTAAGGAACTCTGAGATAATTGGGGCAGAGATTCAGGAGGTTTCACAGTGTTGGTGAAGTTGAATCAACTAGGTCAGACAATAGGACCATGGCCCCAGATGCAGCTGAGACAGGTTGGAGCCGTCTTCACCAGCAAGTGCCAGCAATGGAATGCCCAAGACTCATTATATCTTTCTTTCTCTCTCTCATTTATTTTTTGGTGCTAGGAATTGAACCCAGAGGCACTGAGTAACATCCTCAACCCTTTTCATTTTTTGAGATAGAGTATCATTAAGTTGTCAAAGCTAGTCTTGAATATTAATCCTCCTGCTTCAGCCTCCTGATTTGCTGGGATTACAGGTATGCACTTTAAGGAGCACTCATTGTACTTTAAGGAGCAGTCAAAATTGGCCATCTTGAAAGAAAAATCTAGCAAGAATCCAAAAGAAAACATACAGATTTCAGGACCCAGAAGACCCATCAGTGTCTCAAGTTCATGTCAGCCATCTCTCACCCTTCTGTCCCTCAGATGCCATTTTGAGGGAAGAAGGCTGAAAGGGTTTGGGTGCTTTAACCTAAATTTAAAGGCTTTAATTTTTGCAACATGGCACATGCCTGTGATTCCAGAAACTCAGGAGGCTGAGGAAGGAGAACTGTAAGTTCAAGGTCAGCCTCAGCAATTTAGCAAGGCCCTTAGCAACTTGGTGAGGCCCTCTCAAAAATAAATAAATAAATAAATAAATTTTAAAAAAGGATGTGGCTCAGTGGTTAAAAGCTCCTGGGTTCAATCCCCCAGTACAATAAAACAAAACAAAACAAACAAAAAATCCCCACTACAAACAAAAAAGGGCTGGGAATGTAGCTTAGTGGTAATGTGCCCTTGGGTTCAATCTCTATACTGCAAAAACAAATTAACAAATAAATAATTGCAACAGTTTATCAAATTGGTCACACATTTAGGACATCCCCCTCTACTGCCTAGAGGCTGAGGACATTTTATTTTCACAGCTGACTGTATTCTGAGTAAATCTGTCACATTCCTAGTAGAATATCAAGTACTTTTTCATATGAAATGCTGCCAAGACAGAAAATTGTGTCATTTGGTAATTATGATTTTGTTTTTTAAGCTTAATTCTCAGAGGATAACTAAATTTCCCTTACACTCAAATTGCTGATGGATTTTCACATATTACCATGCTTATAGGTACACCAAATGACTTAGAATATATGAAGAAGTAATACAAATGTTTGGATTAGGCATGAGTGAAGCTAATGTTACAAACAATAAAGCAAACAAAGTAAAAGTCACAACGTTAATGTTGTGGATAGGAATTCCCAGTGAATAAAGGGAAAGATTATCACACAAAAAATACACTTTATTTACTAAAATAGTCAGAATGAGTGAAATATGAATTGAAATATTATCAAAATGGTGAAATTTGGAATCTGAGAACCATTTTATAAGGGAATTTGAAAAGCACCTGGAATACCAAGATCAGTTGCCCCTCCCACACAATGTGTTCTTCCTCCTCCTAGGAAATCTGAAGCTAAAATTAGCTTCCCTGACCAGCTTCCACCGTGCTTGCTGCAAAATCTTGTAGTCTGGCAGTGTAACTAGCTATTCATCAGACAAATAATGGTTATCGTGGAAACTCTTGTTTTAAGATGCATATTAAAATCCATCTCCTCCAGAATCATGTGGATTCTCTAAATCCAACAGAATTTCAAACATCCGGTTTTCTATCCTCATTATAGTCACTGTTAAGAGAAAATTTAGCACTTTGGCAAATACCATCTTTTTGTTCTCACATTTTAATATATATTTAAAATGTAAATTAGTTGACTGCAAAACTCATATCTCTATAATGCCTAACCAAGAGCGGTAAAAACTATAGCAAATTTTAAAATCTTAAATAGCTTTTACTTGCTATTTGATAATTGGGCAACACCTTGTTCCATAAAATAGGAGTATTCCAAAGAATTTAGCAGAGGAATTAGGTTTCATAGACAGAAAAAGACAGTGGAAAACTGAAACAGAAAAGGGGATTGGCCTTTTCTCCTAAAGATTAAAGCAGAGCTTTCCTTATTATATAGGCTAGAATTAGATTGTTCAGAAATCTGGCAATTATGTCTCTTCTTATTTCTTCCAAATTCAAATAAACACCTTGGTTTCAGCACAGTGGTGGGGAACTTGGCATGAGTGACTCCATTTTGGGCTCCTCTCATGGACCTAGTGAATGCGCTCAGTCCAAACCATCTCCTTTACTTTTTTTTTGGGGGGGGGGGTACTGGGGATGGAACACAGGGGCATTTAACTACTGAGCCACATCCTCAGCCTTTAGAGACAGTGTCTCCTTAAATTGCTTAGGGCCTTGCTAAGTTGTTGAGGCTGGCTTTTAACTTGTGATCCCAAACTGCTTTTCTTACAGGTGTGTGCCACTATGCCCAGCTCCTATACATTTTAGTTAACCATGCCAAGGACAATGTAGGTGGTAAACAGCATTTAAAAAAAAATTTGTTGTTGTTGTTGTTGATAGACCTTTATTTTATTTATTTTTATGTGGTACTCCAAATTGAGCTCAGTGCCTCATGCATGATAGGCAAGTGCTCTACCACTGAGCCAGAACCCCAGCCCAAATTAAGGACTTTAACAAAGGATGGTAATGAAATCTTTTTTTCCCTGAAGCTATCTGAAGATTTCCCTTACTTCTTTTTCACATAGTTCTGTTACATTCTCAAAGACTTACCACTTGTGAGATTTATCTGCAAATTAAGGGCTCATTTAAAAAATAAAAATATTTTTGTATAAATGCTGCCTAAGTGAGCACAAAAATAAAAACAAACGTAGTGAGATTAGAGGTAGGGGCTCCTACCTCCTTTTCTTCCAAGATATCAAAAACCAACCTCCTCCCCCCAACAAACTCTTATGGTGTTGGTTGTAAGACTGTGAACATGAACGGTCACCATTTAAGAATCAATCACATTGCATTTAAGCCAAAAAATTGAATCTCTATACAGCGCAAGGAATCTTATTTTTAACTAACCCCAGGATTAAAACCACATAATATTGTTTCATGACACATTTTTGCAAGGTCAAAACAGTCTAGCAACGGCAAACAATTAAGATTAAATCTTCAACGTTAGAAATATATTTTAAGGAAAAATTCCTGGGAAACCTAAGAATTTAATAAAGGCGATAAAACGGGGTCCCCCTACCAAGATGCTGGGGGTGTGTGCAGGTACGTAGGCCCGCACCCAGCCGTTGACGTCACAACCTGCCGAAGGCGCCCAGCGCCAGTTGCTATGGAGGCTGCTCTCCTCACCCCGCCCCTCCGCTCTGGGCCTGCAACGCGAAACCCTACTGTGTTCGGTGACCGGCTGGGCAGGCTGCAGGCAGCGCTATGCCACGGGAGAGCTGCTGGCGGGGGCGATGGGATCCCGGTGCACCATGAGCCTTGGGTCCCGCCCTTTCTTGGGCCGATGAGCACTGCGCACTCCGTTCTCCTTTTGCCGTGGGGCCTCGGTTGCGAGGGCAGCAGCGGCGGGACCAGAAGCCCGACGGCGACGAAAGGTCACCTTTCTACGAACCCGCGACAAAGAAGCAGTTCAGCCTACAGTGCCGCTCCGGGGCTCGGAAGTAAGGGTCTTCGCCCACGAAGGCGGGGCAGGGATGCGGTGGAGCGAGGCTGGGAGCAGGAAGAGCAGTGCAAAAGGGTGGGTTGCGGCCGGAGAGGTTAAAGAAGCGAGGGGCGGGCGTGGGGAGCTGGCGGACAGCTGGGAAGAGCGAGGCCACGAACGGCGAACGAGGGACTAGGCAGAACCGCGGCCGGGCCCCAAGCTCCGTAGGCGGTGGCCTCCAGTGGGAGGACGGCTTGGGGGCGGGACGTAGTGCCGTGGCCACTGAATGGGGCTGGCCTTAGACTTGCGCCCAGCCCACGGTGCCTGCGAAACCAATCGCTGTTTCCTGCGCCCGGCCTCCTGAGGAGCACCGCCTCCGAGTTCCGGGGGCGAGGGGGGCGGCCCCTCGCCCGGCGCGTGCGGCCGGAGCGCCGCTGTGTTCGGCCCCGCCCCACCCCGCTCGGAGTCCCGCCCCACCCCGCTCGGAGTCCCGCCCCACCCTGCTCGGAGTCCTGCCTAGGTCCCCGCCCCCTTCCTGGCGCGAGCTTCTTCCTGACGCTATTCCCCTCCCCCCGGGTCCGCGCAGGGAGTCGGGCTCCGGACCGCCACCGCCACCTCGACCGCTGCTGCCGCCATCGCCTTGTTCCTCTACCCCCGTCATGGCCGAGGAGCTGTCCGCGGCCACGGCCTACACAGAAGATGATTTCTACTGCCCGGTCTGTCAGGAAGTGCTCAAAACGCCAGTGCGGACCGCGGCCTGTCAGCACGTGTGAGTAGACGACCCCTCCCCCGCGCGGAGCCGGGTGGTCGTTTGGGTTCCTCGTCTGGACCCGGACCTGCGACTGAGGCCTGGAGGGAGTCGAGCCCCCGAGGCCTGCCGGAGCGCCGCCCGCCTCGGGGGCCTGGTCCCGGCGCGTCAGAGCCCGGGGCAGCCCTCCGCCTGAGACCAGGGCCCGCTCGCCGCGCCCCTCCGCCGGAGCTCCCCGCCCCGGTTTTCCTGGGCTTAGCACCCCGGGGCAGGGGTCGGGCCCTCCGGTGGCTTCCATAGGCCGAGAGGCCCCTGTCCTCCTGGCAGGCCCGGGAGGAATTGCAGGGAACGTGGAGCCTTTTTGTTTCCTAGCAACCCGAGTGCAGGCGGGGGTGTCGAGTGTCAAACCCGCTAGTGCCGGCACTGGCCGCCCGCCGGCCTCCTGCTTCGCTTTCAAGTTTTTTTTCTTCCTCTTTCAGAACCTTGGCCTGGTCCTCCTTGATCCAAGAGCTTTTAATCTAACTTCAGCCCTGCTTCACAGACCACTTTTGGATCGGTTTTGTTTCATTTAAAATTCCAAGAATCTACTAGGATGGTCTAAAATGAATTTTCTTCTCTTATGTTAGAACTGACAGGGTTTCCGGATATTGAAGTGGTAGTTTCCCTTTGTGTTATCTTCTGTTCATTATGACTCGGTTACTACAAGAGTGGAGGTAAGAAAAGAAGAGTTCTGTTATGAGGAATGGACTGAAGATGAGGTACTAACTCTAGGGGTGAGGGAGAACACAAAGGAATTAGGTGAGGTCACATGGTGCTGTTTAACTAGGCTTATTTATAGGAACAACCTCCATCATTTTGTAGACTACCAGACTGTCGGCAAGGATTGAAAGGAGACCTTCTTGAAAAGGTATACAGTAAACTGACCAACCTGGCTGATGACCAGAGTGCCTGGGGAGTTTTTAAGTAAACATACCAATTCCCAGGCTCCATTCCAAACTTGCAAAAGAATTTCTGGCAGGTGGGAGCTGGAAGTATTTTTATATTTAAAAAAATTGAATCGGGCTTAAGTTCTGAGCTTGCAGACACAGAATTGAACAAGTTTCTGGACATATTTCTCCATTCACTTTTTTTTTTTTTTTTGAGAGTCGGGGTTCTATAATTTTGTGAATAATTGGTAGAATTTTGGGTCCCTAATCACAAATGTTACTACAGATAACTTTTGGTAATCTTCCCTGTACCTTATTAACTCTACTATTTTATCCCTTGATTGTGCTAGTTGTGTGAAACGACCATGTAGTTTTTCAGGATTGAAACATCAGTTATGATTTTTGTGTCTTAAATTCTCTCATCATTTGTTGCAACAAATGCAGGTTGTTGAAAAAGTATTTTAAGATGTCTAGGACACAGAATACACTTTCTGTCTTTAATGGTCATTATTCATTATTATAACTTGAACCTTTCCTATATTTAAGAAAAAGTAGTTCTGTGATGACAAAGAGGGGAAATAAAAGGAGGAGAGCAGGCAAGATGAGGAGTTATAATAATTGCTAAGTTTATATATGCATGGTAGATATCATGGACAGAATCATTTCAACTATTCTTTGGATCATTGTCCTCACAGAACTCATTGTAATTTTTAGCTTCCCTCAAAATTCCATGTAGATCATTCTAGTCTATTTCCTTTATGGTGCATTTGAAATCAAGAACTATAATTTGACTTTGACTTCAAAGCTATAGAAAAGAGTGGATGTTTTTAAATTCAAGACCATTCTCAAATCAATTCATTGGACTTTGAGGCTTCAGTGTGATCAAAGTAGCTCCTTATCTCTACTGTCCCCCACAGTTGCTTTATAGTTCTGACTGAACAATTAATTAAAAATAGACAGAGTGAGCCAAAGTTTTATTTGGCAGGGGTGGTATTTGTGGAACCAGGGTCTTGATTGGCTGGAAGGAATTTTCTGGGAAATAAGATTGGGGGGAGAGTTATTGGATATTAAATTCAGGCCATTGCATATGCCCAGCAACCATTCTACTGCTGAGCTACATTGCCAGTCCTAGAATTATTTTTTAAGTAATAAGTTTACTGTGTCATTTCCCTTTTTTCACCCAAAGGACAGAGCTGTGCCTTTAATCAAATTTATATTTTGCTACAAATTCAGTTGTTTTTTTTTGTTGTTCTGGGGATAGAACCCCAGGCCTCATGCGTGAACATTCCCAGCTCCTCGAATCAGGTGTTTGGTTTTTTTTTTAATTTTTTTTTTTTTTTTTAGTTGTAGTTAGACATAATACTTTTATTTATTTATTTTTTATGTGGTGCTGAGGATTGAACCCAGTACCTTGCACGTGCTAGGCAAGTGCTCTACTGCTGAGCCACAACCCCCTCCAATCAGGGTTTTTTTTTTTAAAGAGAGAGAGAGAGAGAGAGAATTTTAATATTTATTTTTTTTTAGTTTTCGGGGGACACAACATTTTTGTTTGTATGTGGTGCTGAGGATCGAACCCGGGCCGCACGCATGCCAGGCGAGCGCGCTACAGCTTGAGCCACATCCCCAGCCTCCCATCAGGGTTTTTTTAAAACAATATTTTTAGTTGTAGATGGACACATGCTTTTATTTTTTTATTTTATTCATTTATTTTTATGTGGTGCTGAAGATCACACCCAGTGACTCACATGTGCTAGGCAAGCACTCTACCACTGAGCTATAATCCCAGCCCCCCAAATCAGATTTTGATTCAGAGCTAGAAAGGGATGAGATAAGAACTTTGGGTCAGTCTGGGTCTGTTAGAAAATAAAAACAAATTTTCATTGCCAGTGAGAGGAAAGGATTTTTCCATTGAGTTTTCTAGTCAAAGAAGCAAATTCATTTCTATTAGAATAATTTTACTAAGGGCTGGAGATATACAGCTTAGTGGTAGAACATTTGCCTAGCATGCTTCAAGGGCCTGGGTTCAGTCCCCAGTATTGAAAATATATATACATACACACACCTATCTATATGTGTGTATGTATATGTAGAGAAAAAGGGATACTATTGAGAATAATTTTACTAAAGTATTTAATCTCCACTTGTTCCTTCAAACAAACATTGTTAATGTTTTTATTTGCCTTGTTCAAGAAATACTAAATGCTCTTTCCCTGGAGACTGTTAATAGTCTAATGGAGAAGACTGTTAAATGACTATGGTATGGAAGAGATTTCAGTGGAAATTTTTATGTGAGCATAGAGAGCACATAGCTAAATAAACTTGTTAATATAAGGACAATTTTCTTGGGAAATACCCTGATTAGGTCTACAGAGGATGACTCTGTATCCTGACTTCATAGTTTGGAGCCAGAGAATGAGTGTAATAGAGATTGAGCTTAGAGATTTTGGCAGGAACTTCCTTTGTAAGCTAATTTGAATGTTTTCCTGAAAACCAGAGAGACCTATTAAATAATTTTTGGCAGGGGAGCAGCATGATTACAATTCCATTTTAGAAAGTTTATATTAGTGTCAGGGTTCAGCTTGGCAATGGTGACCCATGAAGATGTTGATGACACTTTGGCGTGTGAGGGAGAGAAGTGATTAGAACAGGAACTAAGGCAGTGATAATGGAAATGGAAAGAAGAGACTCCTGATATTTTAAGGTCTTTATAATATAAAGTCTGATGTTCAGTACTAGATGTATATACTGTGTATAGATCTGGAATAAATGGAACTAAAGTTATGGGTGTGGATGTAGTCACTGAGGGAGGTATATGAATTGAAAGAAGGAGGCCTGGATAGATAAAAACAAAGTGTTAGAGAATACTTAAATGTCAAGTAGAGAAAAGTACATTCTGAGAAGGAATGGACAGAATCATAGGAAGAAAACTAGGATTGAATGTGACAGTGGAGACTGAGATATAAATACTATTAAGAAACCAGCAGCATCAGGTGCCTTAGAATGGTCAGATAAAATATTTTGAAAAACATGTAAAGACAAATTAAGAATATTAACATCAAACAGATATTCAAAATAAGGCTTCAGACGAAGGTTCACAATGTTGAAGTGGTAAGATGTTTATCTCTTGATGTTTTCCATTAAAGCATCATTAAAACTAAAGGTTTTTTGAACCTCTATTTACACTGTTCTGAATAGTCAAGGAAGTACCTCTCATACACCATTTAGAAGTAAAATGCAATCCCAAGAAAATTACATTTAACAAGAAATTTTGATTTCTTGCAAAACTTTTCTCTTTTTGCAGTACGTACGGGGGGTTAAACCCAGGAGCTTTCCATTCCTAGTCTATTTTACTTTTATTTTGAGACAGGATCTTCTAGCCTTGAACTTCTGGTCCACCTGCTTGATTCTCCAGAGGGACTGGGATTACAGGTGCCATTGGACCTAGTGAAATGGAAATCTAATTAGTGTTTGCTTTGGGGCATTTCTGTAAGGAGCATCTTTTAAAATAAGTTAATATAAATTAGCTTCCACTTCTCATTCAGCACAGAGTTGTATGATTCCCTACATTGACCTGCTTAGGTTATCCAGTCCCTGAATTTTCAGTTTATATTTTTTAAAAATTTGAGCGGCTTTATTGGTATCTTATTGGAATAGTTATGCTCTAAATAGGTACTTTTAAAATTTATTCTTTCCTATAGATATGTTAAAATTTTGAAAGTCAAGCTTATATAGGTTCTTATTGATTTAATAAGTTGTTGCTTTAATCTATCCTTTTTTTTTAAGATTTTTAAGACTATCTAAATTCTCTTGACATATAGAGTGGCATACTTTTAAAAAATTTCAGTATAAATACATTTCAGTATTTATTGGGTAAAGGAATGAATTGGTTTGTGTTGGGACACAACACAGTTTAACTATAGCTGTATCAGTTGGCTAAGTCAGTTAACCCCATTCAGCTTTTCTTGCATATAAAAGATTACAAATCACCTGTTTTCACTGGGGTTTTGCACAGACAAAATGAGGTAATGTTTATTTATACTAATCTTATATTTGTGTTTTATATTTTTCTTTATTTTTAAATATTTTTTAGTTGTA